CCTCTTTATTTGATTAAAGCCACTGGAAAATTGGAAACTGATGTCAAAGAATTGAAATAATACACTGTGTATGACTTAAGCCTACTTATTATTTTATGACTTATAAAGAGGGGTTCCTGGGAGACTTGCCTCAGATTCACTGGGGAAAGGCTAAAATGCAGCCTTCTGGTCCCCACCCCAGACCTGGCAAACCAGAATGTCAGTGGTGGGGGAGGAAATGGTGAAACTCAGGAATCTACAATGTTAAAATCTCTCCAGATGACTTTTATGATGCCAAAATTATAACCACTGTGTGAGAAAATATTTCATATATGTATTACTTTGTTTTATCTTTCATAACCCTTTGAAGTTAGGTTATTATTATAGTTTTAAATCCATTTAACAGATGAAGCAAAGGAAAGTTATTTGTTCTAGTGGACATAGCTAATAAGTTGGGAGCTTTGACTGGAATCCCACACTTCTGACTTGAACTGACCACCTGTGCCTTTTCCTCAGACCACCCTATTTCCACAGACTGCACACACTCTGTGGTAGATATGACTGTGGAGTACAACCTAGGCTGCAATTCTTTCACAAGTCATGCTTTTGATGTTGTATCTAAAAATTAACCATCAAACCAAGGTCACATAGATGTTCTCCTATGTTTTCTACTAGAATTTTTATTTTCACTTTGCTTTTAGGTCTATTTTTAGACAACCATTGTGAAAAGTGTAAGGTCTGGCTGAATTTAAGTTAATTTGTTTTGTTTTGTTTTTTTGTGTATGTGGACATTCAACTGTTCCAGCATCTATTGCTGAAAAGACCATCCTTATGTCATTGAAGGGCCTTGGCTCCTTTGTCAAAGAGCCCTGCAATTCTTGATCCTTGTTATAGAAAGATTTTACCTCTGTTCCTTCTCTCCCTCTTCTCTCTCTCTCTCTCTCTCTCTCTCTCTCTCTCGGCAGCCAGATCAGTCCAGCATTTTATAATTATTTGCCTAAGATTTAAACCCCACCTTCTTAGTAAACAACATGAGGCAAGTTGTAGATTAGAACACAGAACAAGATAAATCACTGCAGAACAAGTATAATGAAGTCCGTCTACACTGAATTTTGTGACCCAGGTTTAGAAACAGAGAAACCAGGTTTCAGGCCTGACTCCACACTTCACCTTTTGAATGGCTGTCTTCTTCCCTGAAAATAAAAGGAATGTTCTAAGACATATCCTAGGTTTCTAGTCATGCAACTCCACTTCTCGAGCCCTTGATCATAACAGGGGTAATGAAAACGTCTATCTGTAAACTGCATGCAGTCATGAGCAAGCTCATCCTTCCAGGACTGACCTGTGAGCATCTGCTACATTTACTGTGGCTGATGTGTCCCACAACCCTTCACCAACCACATGCAGGGAGGTGAGGTGACCACGCAATCTTTTCCAAGGCCCCACCTGCTGCTCAGACCATTCACATCATTCGTCAGCTGTTGTCATCCCTTGGCCAGCATTTTCATCTCAGGCTCTCACATGTCTTTGTTTGCTTATCCCAGCAAACTCTCTCTCTTTCCTGGGGATACAGATCTCCTCTTCCTCTCTCTTCCCCTTCTCAGTCTCTCCTTCCCACTCTCTTTGCCTGAGTTGCCTGCACTCCTCCATTCTCAAGAACACACAGCTTATCTGTTTTCCACGTTTGTGGCTGCCAAAGACTTTAAAAGATAACGAAAATCTCTCGACTGCAGTTTTGAGCTGCAAAGAATTTGCTAGTGTTGCTGGTACAGAGAGTTACAGGAATGTTCTAGTACTTGTGTTCTGGAATCCTTGGTGGGTCAGGGATATAGTCATATGAAAATAATTATAATAAAGCATGGGGAGTGGCAGCTCTTTGGAGGGTGTGGGAGACAGCCATCAAATAATTTTAAAAACAGCAGAGATAGTAGTTGAGTCTTGAAGGATGCCTAGGAATGTAATAACAGCCAAGACTTGGAGTAAGTGTCCAGTTTTCCAGGCAAGGAGTAATACCATATATAAAGGAAGGAAGCATGAAAGAACATGACATTTTTGGATGTGGATAGGTTAGCTCTTACCCACAAATGATAAAGTTGACTTAGCTGGTTTGGCTGGCCAGGCAGGTGCCCTCTGTCCCTCACCTTCATTGTTCCACATTCTGCATGTATCCTTTCTGATGCTGCTTCATTTTTAACACTCAGAAAATCAATCATACTCTGTCAAGACTAGAAAGATAAGCATGTTTTGTGTCTAGTACATACAGGAGGGGACCTCAGGAACAGTTAAAGAAAACCAGGAGTGGAAGAGAGAAAGGACTGGTGGTAAACAACCACCATTACCACCAGTCCTTTGACTTGAAGGACCTATAACTCCAGGTCATTGGGGTGGGAGGGGTGGGGAGGACAGACTGTATGCTGGTCCAAGGAGCTAGACTTTCCCCCATAGGCAGAGCATGACTGCTGTGGACTAATGTGGTTGGATTCACATGGAAGACAAAACATAGGAAGAAAGGTGAGGCAAGGAGCCCAGGAGATGACCTTGAGTCCAGATGTGAAATGGAGAGGACATAAGCTGGAATAGCAATAATGGAGGCTGGCTCACGATTTGTGGGAGCTTCAGCAGGATATTTGGTTCCCAAATGAATGTGATGGAGCAAGACATAGTCAAGCACTTTCTTCAGGTTTCTGACCTAATGTCAGGTTCCATTAGCTAAGGAATCTATTAGCTCTTTCTGGAAAGAAAAAGAATTTAGGGGAGACCATCAACTCTTATTTCAAATCCATTGCTTTTCAGATGCAGAAAGGACAAGAGGACAATTAGATACAATGGTTTGAAGTTCAATTACAACTCAATGCAAATAGAAGGGTAAAGAAGTACAACCCTGAACAGGATCATCTGAAGGATGCACACAGTTCGTTGTGTTAACAAATATTTCACAAGGCCACATAGGACATATAAAGAATAATCATGCATGGTCTTCAACCTTAAGGAGCCTTCTTTGTTTTAACTATAGCCATGGACTCAGGCTCAATATGTGTGAAAAGTTTTCCCAAGAATTATTGCTGAGATAAAGTGTAAAATTTTTTTCTGTAAGTTTATGTCTGCTTCCTGGGCTTGCTCTGAGATTTGATAGGTATTTAAAAGCATCCTTCCTTTTTCTTTATTTTTTTCTTGAGATTTCTTTCAAGGTCCAAGCAACACTGTAGGACATGTTAAATATGACAACTGATTTACTTGTTTTCTGATTTTTATCCAGCTTTATGCTTAAACATAAAAAACATGATTAGCTCCAAAAAAATAGAAGTGCACATCCTTGTGGAAATCCCTAATCGTAGAAATTAAAAACTGCACAGGATGGAGGAAAATTAATACAGTTTACTATTTTTTAAGTGAAAAATCCCTTTTGAAAGGCATTTTCTGTATATTAGCTATTTTTAGTTCACATACCCATAACTACTAAAGCTTATGAAAGAAGTAGTAAATATTTAAGAAAATATTTTAAATATTAAATAAATACTTAAAATATTTAAGAAAACTTTAAAATATTTAAGTAAATATTTAAGAAACATCTTATGAATTTGCATGAAGAACTGTAAGACTGCAACACTTTCCTTTGGAAATTAAACTTTGGAATAAAAGATAAAATTTTTAAATTTGCTTTAATATGTATATAAGAAGTACTGATAGGCATTTTATACCTTAAAGAATTGAGAGAGAGTAATTAAAATCAAATAAGGGTGTCTTGTTCACCAGAAATTTGTTGCATAATTTACCAATACTTTTGTAATCTCTTGGAAAGTTCCCATTTAAAGTATGAAATTTCTTGTGGGAAAAAATTTCGTATACCAATGGATTCCTATAAAAATATATCTCGGGTCTCCTTATGTAAATATTTCAAGTTTACTTTCTCTTTAGTCATAATCCAGTCAGTGGAATACAGGTAACACATTTTGTTCCTCTTTCCCCAGAAAATGAGGTATTTACCCTTTTATAACTCAGAGGGGCTTTTCTAATTGACTTCCATTTTTTCATCTCTTTTTGTATCACATGTGTGATTAACTGTGGGGACCCAGGAATGATGGAACTAACTTCAGCAGCCTCACTGCTGAATTGCTTTGCTCTGGTGAACCTAGAAAACCTTTGGCAATGTGTTTTAGACTTAAGTTTTAGCACTTAGGCGAACCTTCTTAAAAGGAGCCAAGATATGAATAAGTGTGAAGGAGGCACTTGAACACACATTTGTAAAAATTCATTGAAATCTGAGAGCAGTTTCAATGAAATCTATATGACTGCGGGTTGTCTCCCTTGAATAATTTAGTTCCCTTTTGTAAGGGTTTTATCTTTTAAAGTATAGATTGGATCAGTGCTTTGGGTAGAGCTGTAAGTAAAATTACCATCCTAAAACTTTGTGGACAATGGTTCTAACTAATAAAGCTAATATTTCAGCAAAACATCATGTGTTATATAATTGAAAGAAATCATGTGAATCTGAAGCACACCTACTGAGGGCAGCCCTATTAAGATTAATTCTGAGGCGGGAAATTAATTTCCTGGACTTACAAAGCAGCAGTGGGAAGGTTTTCCTTCTTCCTAAGCCTGGAGGTTATGGTGTTTGGCCCTGTGGAGACCTAAGGGCTATGAGGGCTGATTAACATACATATAATTAAACTGTGCCAACCAGAAAGGCCAAAGCCAGTTTTATTTGACTCCGTACTACTGTGAAATAATTTCTCTGTCTCTGTTATGTACTTTTTTTTTTTTAATCTAGTTTTTCCTGGACATCATCTTGCTGCTTCTTTAGGATTATTGCTACCTGTCCTAACAGACACTAAGGAGTAGAGAAGCTTTCCCCATTCAAACTAGATTTTCTTCCTATTCATATCACCATTTTTAAGCTCCATTTTTCATCAAATGGTAACAAACACTGTACATAATTAAGGTGATCCATCAAGAGGCCCATTCTTGATAATGAAAAATTTCATAACTCAGTAAAAGTCAATTAAAAACCACAAACTTCAGAACCTGTTTCTCAGTGAAGATTTATTGTTTATAGAAGATGTCTAATACAATAGATTTTTGGGGTCAAATTTTTAAAAGTTCTAAAAATGCAGTTAAAGCTTGACAATAAACTTGGGTATGAATTATACAATATCAAAGTATATTAGTTCTTGGAAATGAAAGGTTTTTTTTCTTCCTTTAACATGAGAAGTTTGAGATGTCAGAATTTTATAATAATCTCAGAAACAACATCCACTATGTGGGATACTTATTTTTCCTCTAGGGTTTTAAATGAGTCTTATTCTTTGGTTGTGTCTATAAATTGAAAGTCTACAAATTAAATGAGAGAAGTCAAGATATTTTCCCTTGTAAAACTAAATATCTGCATTACTAGAACTACCTAGATAAAAGACTCAAATATTTTTATAACTGGTTGCTTGGTTAGGACACAGTCAACATTATAATAGAAAGTAGTATCTTTTACAACTGCATGTAATTTTTGTTGTTTAATAATAACAAATCAATGATCTTTCTTTAAGGGCATCAAATGTTGGTTGAAAAGAGAAAAATATCAGCTCTTGGAAACACAGTATTTTCTTTCAGTGATTCTTTCATGCCCTCGATACAAATTTAAGTGCCACATCACTCTTCACAAATCAAGTCTCTAGCCATTTGTTTTGAGGTTCAGAGCTCAACTTTGTAAGTTTTAAACTCTGCCCAAAAGCTTAGGTAGGCTTCAGCAACCAGGCAAGACAAACGCATAATTCCAACAAACTGCGCACATGTGACATGCTTCCTACTGACACTGAACTGCCAAATAAAAAGGAGGAATTGTGCCCTTTTTAATAACAAAGAATGCCATCGTTAGAATTCTTCAAATTTGGAATTCCAGCAGTGTTCTAGTGTTTTCCTCTTGATGTGTGACAAGAATGGATATTATGAAAAATAAACATAAATCTCATCTTAATAAGCAGCCCTTTGACTTTATAAGGTTCAACATCACATTCTAAAAATACCCAAGACCAGAGCTAAGAGGAAAATATGTGGGAATAGGGCAGAATTTTTCAACCCTTTGATCAATTTTAAACCTGCTAGCCTTAATTTTGTTCATCTCTGTTGAGACATTGCCACTTTAGCTGATACTAGGGACCATGATATTTCATATTCATATAAATATTTGACTTGGACCTCATAAAAAGTCCCTTGAGTCTATAATACTTTTATTCTTGTATAATCTGAAACAAATCCTTTCCTTTTAAAAATCAAACAGACCACGTTACACACACAGTTGACTATTTACAAAGCACCCAATTAAATCCTACTTAATTCTCACTCTAAAAATTCCATCTAACTGGTGTGTAAAGGACCCATTACATTGAATGTATAATGCTCACAAACTCTGATGGTTCTATCTAACCTGGAAAATATTACCTTCTTTGGAGGATCTTAAAAAATAAATAGTAAGTTTTTAAATAAATGAGACCAGGAATCACAGTACAAGACAGATAAATCTACTTTAATTTTCACATGTAAAAGTTACACATCACAAGAGATTGGACAGTAGCTTAGTGGTAACTGACATAGCTATATTGAAAATCATTTTTATAAAAAAATAATCTAGATGCGGTCATCTGAATTTTTGGTCTACTTAAGTTAATGTTTGAAGATCGACTTTTATCCCTGCTTGAAGGATTTGCAATTACGCCTTTTTTTTTTCTCCCACTATTGCCTATTATTCTTTGGAGGAAGGAAAGCAGAAAATGTTCATTTCCAAGAGTTTGTCCTTTGGTAGCAAGCAGAGAACATTTTTCATTTCTATGATTTAAATAATCTGTACAGATATGAAACTTCATGACATTATGCTTTAGTGTAAAATTAAGCGTGACAGCAATTTTTTTTCACTTTGATAAAACAGCAGACTTTGTAAACTCATTAAGGATCCAAACATTTCCCCATCCTATATGCAAAGTCATTCGGAATCTATTTGACCTCAGTTAAAAAAACAAAAACACTCTTTATATATTATCCTATAAAACCCTGTACTTAAAAACTGGTAAGATATTATTTTCAACATGTACACTTCAAATACAAAGGTTTCAGTCTAGATTAAAGAAAACACATTTGAATGGACTCAGAACAAGTTTATTTTGTGATTAAACATCTCATGCAGTCGTGCAAGATCACTACCTATAACTGTTACTTCCGAGACTACTACACTGAGTAAAACAAAAACAAATTAAAAGTCAGGCCAAACAGAAAAGACATTCAAGATAGCAAGAGCTCTGCAATTGAGCTGAAAAATAATTTTCCAAAAGAAATATTCCCATAGATTAAAAAAACACACACAATATTTACAAAAAATATTTAATTAAAAATATCTTATAATTACAGTAGTCTATTAAAGCATATACTTTCCCACACTTATAGAACATCTCTATATATACACGGTATGAAATGTCACTCAGTAATCTATACAATATGTAACATTCTTGCAGGGAAAAGAAAGTTCTCTGCCCCGTTATAATCATCTATTTTAAACAATAGATGTAAAGAAAAATTATCTACAATGCTCTGGTTTATTAGTAAAGCTTCAAAACAAAAATTGAGCTCCTTGGTCACAATGTAGCCTTCTGAAGTCGGATTTACTTTTGATCTTCTATTTATCAGTCCTGTCACACGTAAGCTTAAAAGTTTAACTGCACCTCCAAACAACACAGAAATGTACAATTCACAGCGGTTATAAATGAAGAGACAAAAAAAGAGAATACGTATGTAGAATGTTTATGAACGTGCAAAAAAAAAAAAAGGTGAAAGTTTTATTTTTCTTTCCTCTCCCTCTCTCTTGGAATGACGTGAAACGTTCCTAGATTTGCTGATTTTTTTTTTTTTCCTTTCCTTTCCTCCGGTGGCTTTTTCTCTAACTTCTGCTCTTCCCCCTCCCTCTCTAGTGCTCCTGGCTCGGGCTCAGGCGGCCGCACACCTGTGGAAGAGGAATGAATAGAGGGGGTGTGTGAACCTTCTCGCTGCAGACTAACTGGCGCCACCGACCAAACTCAAGACATGCTTGATCAACAACCCAAAACAAACCACCAGGTCAGACAACTCCCGCAGCCCGCGGCCCGGCCAAGCGCGGAGCCGCAAATGCGGGCTCGGGGGGAAGCCCGGCAAGGAGACCCACTCCGGAGTCCTGTCCACGTCCCTCTTTGCGCGGGGGAACATCGGGGTAGTTTCCACCTCACGAGTGTGCCCTCCTTCGGGGGGTAGGGAGGACCTAGAGAGCCCGCCTATGACCGGCAGAGGAAAGGAGGAGGCTGAGGGGCGGGGGAAGGTCAGCGGGGACAAGAGCTGATCCGTCTCCATTGAGAGCGAGCCCCCAGTTGTAAAGCAAAGTGCAGATTCACCAGTCAACTGGATGGCAGGGAGAGAGGCAGTCCGCTTCCCTGGGAGTTTACACTCAAATGCTGGGGGCAAAGAACACCGCGGTGCCTGGCACCGGAAGCCCCCGGAGAGGGGCGTCTCTGGTGATCGGCCACCCGAGACGGGAAATGTGCGCTCACCTGGACAGGCGGCTCAGCGGCACAGAATGCTGTCGCCCTGCTTGTTCACCGCGCCGGCCTGGAACAGCAACCGAACACCAAGGGAAAGATTAGTAAGAGCAAACAACGCTCTCCTCACCGCCCTGGATTCGTCCTCAGAAACCAGGCTGGCGCGCTGACGTCCCCACCCCAGCGTGCAGCCCAGAAAGACCCCTCCGCTGGACCTGACAGCCCGGGAGGCGCACAGCCCCTAGTCCCGCCCCGCACGTTCTCCCGGACTGGACTAGCCCAGCCCAGCCGGCTGCCCGCTACTGTGGGCACCGGGAGAAGGAGAGGACTGTCATTCTTAGCCCGATCCTGCCCCGAGAAGAAGAGGGAGCTCCCGCGTCCCGCCACCCCGCCACCGCCCTCCTGGATTCCTGTGGCGTCCACCCCCGGCCCGCTCCCGGCCTCTCACCGGGTCGGTGTTGAGCGCAGTGAGCGGGGTCCGCGGCGGCGCTGCCGGACAGGTCCCGGCCGGGTGGTGCGGCGGCGCGGGAGGTGGCGGCTGTCTCAATAGAGCCGGGTGCGTCTCCAGCGCCAGCTGCAGGTCCAGGATGTAGTCGATAACGTGCTGCAGGATCTCCACTTTGCTGACTTTCTTGTTGGGCGGGATGGTGGGCACCAGCCTCCGCAGGCGACTGTAGCAATCGTTCATATCACACTGCAGACACAGCGCCGGCTCGTCGGCCGCCGCCTCGGCTGCCTTGCAGCGCGCTGCCGCCGCCGCTGCCGCCGCTGCCGCCGAGCCACCCAGGCTGTGGCCGTGTTCAGCCAGGCAGCGCAGCGCCAGCTCCCCGCCGCCGCAGCCCGACGGCGCCTTGCGGCCCGAGGGGCGCACCGGGCTCACCGCCTTCATCGCGCGCACCCTGCGCCCTGCGCAAGCGGACCTGCTGGGGCGTGCAAGGGAGACAGGCAAGCTCCGGCTTCCCGCCCGCGGTCGGCTTCGCTCCCCTTGCCTGCGCGCCCGACTCACTAGGGGCTCCGCGACGCTCCCGACGATCCCAAGCCTAACAATTGACGGGAGGGTCGCTCGGGTTTTGCGAGGGGATCTCTGCTCTGGGGGCGACACTCGGCCCGAACCAAAAGGCAAGAAAAATCAAAGCACCGGAAGAAAAGTAGCCCACCCTTGCCGCCTAGTCTCTCCCTTTGGAGCTCCGACTAAGCCCGATCGCCGCCGCCGCGCTCCCCCTAACCCGAGATCCCCCACTCTGAGTTTTGACTCACAGCCGCGCCTCCCGCACTAAGCTCTGGCCCAGCCCGCCGCGCAGCTTTATTTATAGAGCCGTGCGCCCCGGGGGAGGGGCCAGCGCGCGGGCCGGGTCGCAGCGCTAGTCGAACAGAGCCCGGCTGGGCGCGCAGGCGGTTGCGCGGAGGGAGGCGGCGAGGGCGGGGGCTTCGGGCGGTGCTGGGAGGCGGGGAGCCGGGCAACCCTGGTGGAGGGATGGGCGGGGGGTCGGGAGTGGCCAGCCAATCAGGAGGGCAGTGCCACCTCGGGGAATGACGCTCGAGCCAATGGGAAGGGCACTCCATTCCGTCAACGCTGTGGGTAGGGGTTCTGAGAAAAGAGCTGGGTGGGAGTCGAGCCAGGATGGTGTGTGCCCAAGGGAGGGGAAAAGAGAGGGAGAAGTTCCTGCGAAGAACTGCGGGAATGTGCGGCTGGAATTCACTCTCCTTCGGTCTAGTCTGCGGAGGGAGCTCTGGGCCTTACTCCCGGATACTCTGCCATTCTTAATAGCACACAGCCCGGGGACTCTGCCAGCCATCACTCCATCCCTGGGATTCCAGTGCCTTAAGAAAGACACAATGTTCTGAAAGGCACGTTCGTTCTGTATTTCCCCCTTCCGTTTCATTATTCGCCTTTTCACAATTGCTGAAACCATGATGGCATAGAATGTGTAGACTTTCCGTTTTCTTGCTTTTTCTTTCTTTCTTTTTTTTTAATGCAAAGCTTAGCAAGAGAAAAGAAAAAAGCAAAAGAATGCCAAATCAAATGCAGGGTTTTTACAGAAGGGACATATAAATAAAACAACACAGTGGTGGTGTTTTTTTTTCCTTTACTCATGTAGATGTAAAAGTGGGCTAAAGAAATGCAATTGCTTTGCACGTTAAATTAGAACACGCAAAGATTAAAAATGCATGGACACGGAATATTTAAAATTCCGCCATGACATATAATATTAATCCGTTTTATGTAAAATTCATACCTGTAACTTAATTTAAGCCATTAGCTCACCGCCTCACAAATTAGTTAGCGTGCCTCGCTTTAAGTAAAGTGATAAGACTGACCAGTGTCTTCCCCTTTGGCCACAAAGCATTAAGAGTCTCATTTCCAGTCTCTGGGATCTGGGGCCTCATGGCTGGGGGGGGGGGGGGGCGCTGGGAAAGGGGAGAAGAAGCCTTTTCACTAAGGTTTTTGTGTTACATTTCCAAGGGAAAGGCTGTCCTACAAGGGTTCAAAATAAAGGTGCACAATGAGCTCTGGTGGGACGTTGTGTGTACCCTTAAGGGGAAAAAATTAGCCCTTCAGATGAGAAATGAGCATAAAAACTCTCAACGGGGAAATGAATTTTGAGTGTCTTCACCCTGCAACCCCTCCCATCTTTAGACACGCTTGGAGATGAATTAACCCAAGAATTTTCTCCCTTCCATACATGACATGAATTGTTACCTTCATTTTAATTGATAATTGAGAGTAAGAGATGTGGACCTCATTTTTTTCCTGTTTACTGCCTGTATGGCTTTATTTTCTTCCTGCCTACCTCCTTCCCAGAACTAAAATACCTGCACAAGGCAAGTATTTTGTTTAGCCGTGTGGAGACTTTATGACAACTGCATTATTTCCCCAGAGCACATTCCTTTTTCCTGATGAAATGAGGAGCAACTATTTAATGCTGGTTTTGCGGGTGGAGGCAATAACCTTCCTGTTCTCTAATCCTGATAGGTTCCTGCCTCTAATAATTGTTTGGCAACAAATGCCATTCTCATTTACTTACAGGCGGACATAGATAGGCTCATCCACATTTACCAAGAAAATCAGATTTACAAAACACAGCAGAGGGTTTTCTCCTGAACACAGACATAATCTTATACATTCTTAATATGCACAGAGCAAATACTATGCTTTTTAGATAGAAAGTTGGAGAAGGCAGCCCCAGTGGCTCTCATCTTGGCGTCTGTCATATCAGCGCAGATGAAAATGTGAGTGGGTATACGTACAGATGTTTCATTCTATTGATTTTTCTCTTACCTAGAGTTTCAAAACGGCTTCCAAATTAAAAACCCAAGATTTTTCTGTTTTACAAAATTTAATTGTGCTAATATGCCCAGAGCACGTCCACATATTAAAGTTTACGTATGCTAACTTGACTAAAAGTAAGATTTAAGTTTTAAATACGTTCACAATCTTTCTGAATTTTGCTAAATGTCAGAGAGCCACACCCTGGGTGTAGCAAATGCTAAACACCAAAGTTTCGGGTTTTATTGAAGGTGGTCTGTGTGACCGGCTTAAAGTTAGGAAGGCGGAGTTACTGTGCAGGGCAGAGCATTCAAAAGAATGTACCTCGCCCCCTAATCAAGGAAACCCAGAAGAAATGTGAGTCCCAAATCCTGTCGGCAGAGCAGGCAAAGGCAATTATTGTATTCCTCGTCTTAAACGTTGCAAGGCACGGAGACATTAAAAAATTGAAGTACTACGCAAAATGTTATACAATGCACTAGAGAATATGGCTCATGAAACCAGAGCGTACTTGAGGCTACACAACGTATGTTTTTGTATTCTTTGACATAAGCACTTACATGACGTCAAAGGTGAAGTCATGAAAGACTCCTGGCACAGACAGTTCAAAACAGTTTACTCAGCAATTACCAGATTTTGGGTAAACCTTATAAACTATGTTATTTCTACTGCACAGAAAAGGAAATTTAGTATTTCTGTGATTCTTCTTTTTATATCAAAGTACTTTACTCACACTTGAAAGAATGAGATGAGTTAGCCCACAGTTCATTGCCATGGGAGTGTCAGAGACACTCAGAATGCACCTTAGTGAGAACTTGGGATGAAACATTCATAGGAGAATTGTAAGGAAGCCGTGGGGACCAGGGTCATGTATACACCCCTCCTCCAAACAAAGAGATGTGTGACGCTATCTTGGGAGGCCTTCTAAATGCCAATCAGACCCTTGCTGAACTGCAACACCCAGGCTCTTAGATTTCACAATCACCCTGTGTTTACACGAAGCAAGGGTATCCAAGCATATTGTGCTATTCAACCCACATGCCTTTTTAGGACTTGATACTTCTTTCTCCAAGGCCTGCCGGGAACCAGTGGGTGGGCTCAGACACACAGAAAAACATGTGTTCCCATGCTTTTGGTCAATCTCTAGACGTAAGTGGTCACTGAGGAGGCACATGCATTCTTTTCTGGGCATAAGAAACCATTATGTACTCTGCAGCAGGAATGTCCCTTGCTCCAAAAGAAGCAATGTGACAGTTCAAGCTCAAGGGTGCTTTATCAGGCGCTAGGCATTAACAAACTTACTTGTGCTGCCTTTGGGTTGCTGATACTAGTCCAGGAAACACTGATAACCTCTTGGCGGGCTCAGTCTTAGAAAAGGCTTAGAGAAAGAGGACATTATATTGAACATGGCTGGGTAAATGTGATCATTGAAAAATACCTTTTTTCGGGAGTTTTTAAAGTTAGCCTGTTTAATTAAAAAGTAGGTGACTTTTAAAAAGATCTCTTTCAGACACAGTAAATCCAGAAAATGAGAAATGGCATTTGTTTTACCTTAAGAGATACAAAAACCATGAGTTTTGAAGTCAGACAGCCTGGGCTCCAGTTTTGGCTTCTTTGTTTATTCTTTATGTATTATTAAACTGAGTTCTTAATATCTTTCTGGTATGTGAAATGAAGACAAATTTATATGTACTTTGTAAGGTATGTATGTGATATATACACATTTAAGTAAATATATACTATATGGTCTCTATATAAAAATTGCACATGACAGGTGGGCAATGTTAAAATTTATTGCCATTTTTCACAAGTATTATCTCTCAATCTGTGGCTTGTCTTTTCATTCACTTGCAAACTCTGAGGAGAAGCTTTGAATTTTGATGAAAGTCCAGCTTATCAATTTGTCCTATTATGGATCATGCTTTTGGTATTGTATCTACCTAAGATATCTTTCATAACATAAGGCAACAAAAGTTTTCTCGAATGTTTTCTTATAAAAGAAGTTTTATACTTTAGGCAAGGGTTGGTTTTATGACATATAACTTCTGTGACTATACTGAGTCCTACAATTGGAAGGATCCCCCTCTAGGTGTATTGTCCTGCTATTTCCGCCTTGAAATTATTAGTAATGTTTGAACAAAAGAATCTGCATTTTCATTTTGCACTGGAAACCAGAAATTATGTGACTAGTCCTTGTTTTCTATATTTTGTACAGGTTTATGATCATTCTGAGGGTGTTTTTTCTTCATGTGGTACACGATATGGATTGAAGTTGATATTTTTCACATTTTGATTCAATTGTTACAGCAGCCTTTGTTGAAAGACTGACCTGTGTTCACTTCATTGAGTTTACACCTTTGTCAAAAATTGGTTGTGTATATGTGTGGTCCTACTTCTGGCTCTAAATTCTGTTCCATTGGACTATTTAATTGTTTTCATGACACAACCACATGGGTGATTATTTTAATAAGTCTTGAAATCAGATAATGTTGGACCATTGGTCTTTCAGCTTTGTTCTGCCTTGTGGCTATGCTAGGTGTATTGCATTTTCACCTAACTTTTAGAATCAGTTTGTGAATTACTTCCAGAAAGGACTTATATGCAAAACATAGAAGGGCTAGGAGTAGCTCAGTGATAGAACACTTGTCTAGCATACATGATACCTAGCACCACTAAAAATAAATAAACAAATAAAATAGAATCTATACATAGGCTATGCAAAGAACTCTCAAAACTCAAAAAGAAGATAAACATCCCAATTTAAAAAGTGGGCAAAAATCTTGACCAGACAATCTACTTACAGAAGAAATAAAAATGGCAGATGAGTACATGAAAAGATGCTTAGCATCATTAGTCATTTGGGGCATAAAAATCAAAGCTACAATGAAATACTACCACATATCTGTTATAACTGCTAAAATTCAAGACTGAACATGTTAAGTGTTGGTGATTATATGGAACAACTGAAACTGTCACACACTGCTGATGGGTGGGAATATACAATGAGTAAAACT